AGGACTGATCCTGGGGACACGCTGCACCAGGCTGGGGGTGGCTGGCAGCGATGGCCCTGCCTGGGGACGTGTGGGTGGCAATGGGGACAGCTGTGGTGGCTCTGTGCAGGAGCATCAGCAAAACCAACTGCCACCCCCGGACCCCAGAAATGTCACTTCTGTGTGCGGGGACACTTCAGTGTCACAGCCCTGCCTGTGTCAGTGTCACAGTCACAGCCCTGCCTGTCACATCAGTGTCACAGCTCTGTCCCCTCAGTGTCACAGCCCTGTCTGTCAGTGTCACATTCCTGCCTGTCCCCTCACTGTCCCAGTGTCACAGCTCTGTCTGTCCCAGTGTCACAGTCACAGTCCTGCCTGTCACATCAGTGTCACAGTCCTGCCTGTGTCAGTGTCACAGCTCTGCCTGTCCCAGCCCTGTCCCCTCAGTGTCACAGCCCTGTCCCAATGTCCCCTGGGAAGGGCCAGGGTGTCCCTGCCGTGTCCCTGCAGTGTCCCTGTCCCTGCCGTGTCCCCTCCCCAGCCTGTCCCTGCCGTGTCCCTGCCGTGTCCCTGTCCCTGCCGTGTCCCTGCCGTGTCCCCTCCCCAGCCTGTCCCTGCCGTGTCCCTGCCGTGTCCCCTCCGCACAGCCTGGGCTCAGGGCCGGGCTCTTGCCCAACCCGAATCCATCAGTGTCAGCCCGGAGCCAGCCGGGAGGGCCAGCCAGGCCCTGGGGACACGGGGCTGTCCCCAAGGACGGCACAGGCGGGGTCACGGTCCCGTCCCGGGGCACGCAGGGACGCTGCCATCCTCCTCATCCTCATCCTCCCCCTCCTGCCGGGTCCCCATGCCGGGCCGGGGGCTGTCGGGCTGTCCCCAGCGGTGGCATTGCCAGCTGGAACCGAGCCCGGCTGCCAATGCCAGCCTGCCCAGCCCCGGGTCGGTGCCAGGCCCGCCACAGAGCCGGGATCGGCGGCCAAAGGCGGCCAAAGGCGGCCAAAGGCTCCTCGGTGTCAGCGCTCCGAGCCCTGCCCGGCCCCCCGAGATCAATGAACCAATTAGGGAGGCAATTAACGCCTAGGGAGGCAATTAACGGCGGGAGAGGAGGGCAGCGAGGGAGGAACCGGCGGCGGGCAGGGCTGGAAGCGGCAGGAGCTGGGATGGGATGGGATGGGATGGGATGGGATGGATGGGATGGGATGGGATGGGATGGGATGGGATGGGATGGGATGGGATGGGATGCGATGGGATGGGATGCGATGGGATGGGATGGAATGCGATGGGATGGGATGGGATGCGATGGAATGGGATGCGATGGGATGGGATGGGATGGGGAGGAGAGGAGAGACCCCCGGGTACAGAGGGAGCTGTGGATGCTGCCCTGGATCCCAAGATGTTCTGGATGTTGCCCTGAATCCCAGGGTGGATGCTGCCCTGGATCTTGTGGGATCTGGAGGCCGCCTTGGATCCTGGCAAGTCCGGATACTGCTCTGGATCCCGGGTGTGGACACTGCCCCGGATCCCAAGAGGTTCTGGATGTTGCCCTGGATCCTCTGGGATATGGACGCTTTCTTGGATCCTGCAGGGTGTGGACGCTGCCCTGGATCCTGTGTGATCTGGATGCTGCCCCCGATCCCGGCAGGTCCGGATCCTGCCCTGGGTCCTGAGAGGTTCCTGAGGCTGCCCCGGATCTGGGGTCTGGATGCTGCCCTGGATGCTGCCCTGGATCCCTGCCCTGAATGCCCCCTGGATGCTGCGCTGGATGCTGTCCCCATCCCGGCAGCTCCGGATCCTGCCCTGGATGCTGCCCTGGATGTCCCCTGGATCCCTGTCCTGGATGCCCCCTGGATCCCTGTCCTGGATGCCCCCTGGATGCCCCCTGGATCCTGCCCTGGATGCCCCCTGGATCCCTGCCCTGGATGCCCCCTGGATGCCCCCTGGATCCCTGCCCTGGATGCCCCCTGGATGCCCCCTGGATGCCCCCTGGATGCCCCCTGGATCCCTGCCCTGGATGCCGTCCCCATCCCGGCAGCTCCGGACGCCGCCCCGGGCTCAGGTGGCGGGGCCGGCGCCTCTCCGCCGCCATCCATCAGCGCTGCAGACGCTCCCGATCGGATCTGGCGGGCACCAGCCGGGCCCTGCCGCGCCTCGGGGCGCGGGGACGCGGCCCAGACGGTTCGTCTGGATAATGAGCAGAGAGAGAGAGAGAGAGAAAGCTCCCCCAGCCCGGGCATCCCTGAACCGCGGCCAGGCCGCCTCCAGGCACGGATCAGCTCAGGCACAGAACCCTCCGGGGCTGCTGGAGCTGGGAAAAGGCAGGGAAAGGGCAGTGCCAGCCCTGGCACAGAGCGGCACGGTCATCCCTGCTGTGCTGGCCTTGTCCCCACGGGGCAGGGACAGCGGGGTCCCTCTGAGGGGGCTGGGGTGGCACAGAGCTGCTCAGGGCTGGCTCTGCAAAGAGAGATCATCGAGAGATCCACAGGGAGATCATCAAGAGATCCACACAGAGATCATCGAGAGATCCACAGGGAGATCATCCAGAGATTGACAGGGATGCTCAGGCTGGAGCAGGGATGCAGCATGTGGCTGCAAATCCTTCTGTTCCTGGGGGACAGCAGCTGCACACCCTCCCATCTCATCCCATCCCATCCCATCCCATTCCATCCCAATCCCATCCCAATCCCAGTTTAGCCCAGCCCATCCCATCCCATCCCAGTTTAGCCCAGCCCAGCCTCCTTCATTCCATCCCACCCCGGATCCAGGAGAAAGGCCAGCTCACCCTGCCCCTCCGTTGGCATCCCAGCCCAGCTCCTTACAACACTCATTTCCAGGACAGGGGTCGAGGGCTCTGTTTTTCCACAGGGACTCTTGAGGAGCGGCTGGGAGGGGACGGCAGAAAGCTCTGAGAGGTTTTCAAAGCCTCTCTGCGGTCACGTAACCCCCGTGTCCCTCTGCCAGGGCTATTTTGGCCCTGTGGGAAGGGGCTGAGCGTTCCTGCTCTCCCCAGCCCTGCCAGTAAATCGCTGCTCGGCGCCGGGGATGCTTCCCAGGCAAAAGGACAAAGAGGAGTTTATCTGCCAGCACCAAACCAGCTGCTGGTGCAGCGTCCCCCCAAAGCAGGGACCACCCAGGGCACTCTGCTCCGGGCTTTAACTCAGCCCCAGACCCGGCAGGATGAAAACAAATCCCTTCCAAAGGCTCGGGGATGGCTTCCTGACTCAGGCAGCTGCTGCTGCCCTCCTCCTGCATGGAGATCGGCTCTGATCCGCTCCTCAATACCCACCGGGCCGTCATTTCATTAATTTTATGGGGTTTTTAATGAAGATCGGAGCTGGGTTCAGCCAGGCTGAACTGGCTGAGTTCCCCCGGCTCCCTGGGCCCGGCTGCCAAAGAGGTGGAAGAGAAAGAGAGGCAGGGAGGGGATGGAGCTCCCCGGGCACCAGGAGCACCCTGAGATCCCTGTGCTCGCCCTGTTCCAGCCCTTTGCGCTCTCTGCAGCTGGGAGAAGCCCCCGTTAGCCAGGCCAGGGTGCTTTCGGTGCTTGGTGACCAGGGACAGTGGCAGTGTCACCTGCTCCGGGCAGAGATTCGGGGAGGCAGCGCTGGGAATGCCCCCGGGCACCGGAGCTGGGCACGGGAACCAGCCAGGAGAGGATAAAACAGCTCCGGAAGGGTCACAGGGCACCAAACCCCGGGATCCGATCCCCTTCACCCCCTCCCTCCTCTCCCGCTGTCACCGGGACATTAATTCCCACATCCTCTTCAGCACAAGCAGCTTTTTCCTGCCTCCTAAAGATTAATGAGGCTGATAACGACTCTGCCGGTGCTGCAGGACCTGATGTGTTTAGATCCGCCTCGGGAAGGGGATGGCGAAGCAAAAGCGAGGAGCTCCCTGCCTCGGCGCGGGGCTCTTTGTTCACTCTTAATTTCCTGCTCTCTATTGTCTCCTGGACAAGGGATGGGAAGGGGGGCAGGAATAGAGATAATTGAATTGCTCTCGAGATCGCAAACAAACCTCTGTTAGAGGTTATCTGCCCCAAACCTCTCGTGTTTGGTCCTTCTCCTCCAGGGAGAGGCTGTGGCAGGAGCCACCGGTGCTGCACAAGTCCCCAGAGACCCCAAATGTTTCAGCATCACCTTCCAGGCTCGGCCAGGTGGGAGGACCAGCACGAACCTGCCTTGGCCGGGCTGTGGAGGCAAGATGCAAACTGCTGGCCAAGGAATTCCCAGCGTTCCAGGGAGAATTTGGAGCTCTCAGGAGCTTTTTGGGCCACCCTCCATTGGGTCACAGCACGCTGCCATCCCCTGGGGGCTCTGGAGAAGTTGAGGCCGTGGCTGGAACCAAAATATAGCTGGACAGTGAGGTGGCAGGGCTGGAGGCAGGGTGGGCATGGGAGGAGAGGGAATGCAGGAGGGGTGGGCAGAGCAGGGTGGGCAGGGGAGGGTGGGCAGCGTGGGGAAGGTGGGCAGGGCAGGGTGGGTGCTGGAGGGTGGGCAGAGCACGGTGGGCAAGGTGAGTAGGGCAGGGTGGGCAGCACAGGGTGGGCAGTGGGGGAAGGTGGGCAGCGCACGGTGGGCAGCACAGGGCGGGTATCACACGCTGGGTATCACGCCGGGCAGCCCGGGGTGGGCAGCGCACAGTGGGTATCACACGCCGGGCAGCCCGGGGTGGGCAGCGCACAGTGGGTATCACACGCTGGGTATCACACGGTGGGCAGCCCAGGGTGGGCAGCGCACAGTGGGTATCACACGCTGGGTATCACACGGTGGGCAGCCCAGGGTGGGCAGCACACAGTGGGTATCACACGCTGGGTATCACGCCGGGCAGCCCGGGGTGGGCAGCGCACAGTGGGTATCACACGCCGGGCAGCCCGGGGTGGGCAGCGCGGGGCTCTCCGGGCTGTCCCCGCCCCGGCCCCGCAGAGCCGCCCCGCGCGGGGCGGGGCGCAGCCGGTGCGCTGGTCCAGCGGCGGAGCCGCGCCGGGAGCGGGTGCGCGGAGCCGCGCGGAGCCGTGCGGGGCGGAACCGAGCGGAGCCCGGCGGGGCACCCGCGCTGCCGGCGCCTCCCCGGTGCCCGCCGGGCCGGGCCGGGAGCAGGTGAGCGGCGGGGCAGCCCCGCCCGGTGCCCTCCGCAGCGCAGACTCGGGGCCGGGGCTGGGGGCTGCCCGCGGCGAGTCCGTCGCCCACCGGCGCCGCCCGGGCTGGGAGGGAAGGGGCTGCACCCGCCGGAGGGCCGCGAGAGGAGGAGGAGGCTTTCCCTCGGTGCTCCCGGCATCAGTCGCACCCACCGGGACGCGCCGGCCGGATTTGCGGAGTCCTAAAGGCTCCGGGATCGCCAGAGGCAGGAGGAGCCGCGGCGGGCTCGGGAAGGCTGCGCCAGGAGGGGACGCGGCCAGATGGGCTGGGAACCCCCCCTGCAGGGAGCCTCTCACCCGCTGGGCTTGGCAGCGGGACGGACAGATCCTCCCCAGGGTTCCCTTCATTGCCATTGACTCCCTGATTTCTAGAACCTTCTCCTCTCTCCCCAGGGCCAGAGGGAGGATGACATCGGGGCTCCTCTGAGCCAGCAGCGCCGAGGCAGAGCCATGGAGTACGAGCTGCCCAACGCCACCGCCTTCTGGTTCTCCCCGGCCTCCCCCTTGGACAACTTCTCCCTGGAGGCGCCCGCCAACGCCTCCCAGAACGCCACGGGCCAGCACTTCGACCTGACCAGCAACGCCATCCTCACCTTCATCTACTTCGTGGTGTGCATCGTGGGGCTGTGCGGCAACACGCTGGTCATCTACGTCATCCTGCGCTACGCCAAGATGAAAACCATCACCAACATCTACATCCTCAACCTGGCCATCGCCGACGAGCTCTTCATGCTGGGCCTGCCCTTCCTGGCCATGCAGGTGGCCCTGGTGCACTGGCCCTTCGGCAAAGCCCTCTGCAGGATCGTCATGACCGTGGACGGCATCAACCAGTTCACCAGCATCTTCTGCCTGACGGTGATGAGCGTCGACCGCTACCTGGCCGTGGTGCATCCCATCAAATCCGCCAAGTGGAGGCGGCCCAGGACGGCCAAAATGATCAACGTGGCCGTCTGGGGCGTCTCCCTGCTGGTCATCATGCCCATCATGATTTACGCCGGCGTGCAGCACAACCACGGCAGGAGTAGCTGCACCATCATCTGGCCGGGAGAGTCGGGCGCCTGGTACACGGGGTTCATCATCTACGCCTTCATCCTGGGCTTCCTGGTGCCTCTCACCATCATCTGCCTTTGCTACCTGTTCATCATCATCAAAGTCAAGTCCTCGGGCATCAGGGTGGGCTCGTCCAAGAGGAAAAAGTCCGAGAAGAAAGTCACCAGGATGGTGTCCATCGTGGTGGCCGTCTTCATCTTCTGCTGGCTCCCCTTCTACATCTTCAACGTCTCCTCCGTGTCCGTCATGATCGTGCCCACGCCCGTCCTCAAGGGCATGTTCGACTTCGTGGTGGTGCTGAGCTACGCCAACAGCTGTGCCAACCCCATCCTCTACGCCTTCCTGTCCGACAACTTCAAGAAGAGCTTTCAGAACGTGCTGTGCCTGGTCAAGGTCAGCGGCATGGACGAGGCCGACCGCAGCGACAGCAAGCAGGACAAGTCCCGCCTCAACGAGACCACGGAGACGCAGCGGACCCTGCTCAACGGCGACCTGCAGACGAGCATCTGAGCGAGGCATGGCGGGGTTTGTCCTGCCTGCGCCCCTCCCCGGCTGCTGCAGGGGTGGCACCAGGGCTCAGGGCAGCGGTGCCACCTGAGGGGACAGCTGGCAGTGCCCCGTGGCATCGGGGCTCCTCTGCTGGGCTCCTCTCTGCTGGGCTGCATTCCGAGTGCTGGGAAGGATATACGGGTCAGGAGGAGCCGCCTCGCCAGGAAAACAAAGACAACTCGCGGCCACACCAAAGTGCCACCAAAGTGGGCACAGCGGGGTCCCCCGTGCCACTCTCGGGGCCGGCTCGCTTTGTGGCTCTGCCCCTGGACACAGCGTGGGACCCCAGGAGGAGCCGAGGCCACAGGTGTGTGACAGAGTGGGGACGCACCTGCTGGGATCTCCCGGCGAGTGTCCCTGCCGAGGCCACCAGGATGTTCGGGATTGCGTTTTCCCGGGTTAATCCTTGTTCTGCCGCAGCCCTCTGCCCGGAGGGGACACGCCAGCACGGAGGGGACACCCCCACGGGAAGCAGCCGTGCCCCTCTGACGCCGCCCTCTGCTGCCGAGCCCTTTCCCTGGCTGGTCCTGCCGCGGATTTTCTGCTCGGACGGAGAATTTCCCCCTTTGCCCTCCCCGGAGGCCGCTGCCCCTCCTTCCCTCGCTCCCTCCGCCCGCCCCGGCCGGTCCCGGGTGCTGCGGGCACCGAGAGCGCTCCGCTCCCTGCTGGGAAAGCCCTGCAAGTGTTCGGGCGGCGGTGACACCCTGGAGGAGCCTGGCACGGGCGCCTGGCACTGCCAGCGGCTCCTGCACCCGGCTCACAGCGGGGCTTGCCCGGCCTCGGCTCCGAGGATCTCCGGGCTGACGCCTCCCTGCTCCTTCCAGGCAAGTCACGCCGGAGGCAGAGGGGATGGAGAGGATGGGGACGGGCACGGGGGGCTGGGGACGCGCTCCCCACCCTTGTGCGAGCCGAAGGGAGCGGGCGGAGCCGGCAACGGGGCTGCCAGCGGCCGGGGATGGGGAAAGGCAGTCGGGGATGGTGAAAGGCAGCCGGGGATCCATCCCCTGGATCCTGCACTGGGCAGGGCAGGGAAGCACGGATCCATGCCCTGGATCCTGCACTGGGCAGGGCAGGGAAGCACGGATCCATCCCCTGGATCCTGCACTGGGCAGGGCAGGGAAGCACGGATCCATCCCCTGGATCCTGCACTGGGCAGGGCAGGGAAGCACGGATCCATCCCCTGGATCCTGCACTGGGCAGGGCAGGGAAGCACGGATCCATCCCCTGGATCCTGCACTGGGCAGGGCAGGGAAGCACGGATCCATCCCCTGGATCCTGCACTGGGCAGGGCAGGGAAGCACGGATCCATTCCCTGGATCCCGCACTGGGAAGGGCAGGGTGGATCCATCCCCTGGATCCTGCACTGGGCAGGGCAGGGCAGGGTGGATCCATCCCCTGCGGCGGGGCTGGCCCCACATCTGCTCTATTTGCCTTCCCAAGCCTGTCCCGAAGCTTTCAGCTCTGTCCCTGTCGCTGTCGCTGTCCCTGGCTGCCCTCCCAGCCCCAAACCCGGGGCTCTGACCCCTCCCCAAGCCCCTCCTTGTACAGCACAGAGGGAGCTCCAGGGAAAGCCCAGGGAAGAGGGAGAAGTGGCCGCTCCCTGCCGGAGCAGCACGGAGCTGTGCCAGAGGCCGGATCCGTTCACAGGTCCCTCTGCAGAGCCGAGCCGTGGGAACGGGGGGTTTGGGTGGGGAGAACAGCCGGGCTCGGTCACCCTGCCCGTGCCACCCTGCTCGTGCCACTCTCCCTGTGCCACTGTCACCCGCAGAACGCAGCCTGCACCCCGCAGAACAGGCGTGGGAGGCGAGGCTGCAGCAGGTGCCACCTGCTTTGGGGTGCCACCTGCTCGTGCTCCATCCCAAACTTCAGCTCGGGATGAAATTTGCCCATTTGGCCCATCCCAGCCTGGGCCACCCCATCCTGCTGTGCCACCCCTGCCAGCTCGCACGGAGGGCTCAGTGCCAGGCTACCTGCCCCCGGCTCTGCTGGGCGCTGCATTTACTGCAAGACAAAGCAGAGCCATGTGAGCAATTGTTTGCTTTTAACCCTTTCCTGCTGCTCCGAGGAACGGCGCGCAGGTGCCCGTGTGCGGCACCTCCCTGTCCCTGGCCGGGCACGGGGTGGGAGCGCGGCTGACCCCGCGCTCGGGGCACGGCTGCAGGAATTGCAGCAGCAGCTCCGGGGCACCGGGAGAGCTCCGGGAGGGCCGGGAGCGGGGCTGGGCTCGGTGTCAGCGCCGCAGCGATGCGTCAGTGCCGTGGGCACTGGGAGGGGGCGGCGTGTGCGGGGGGCGGGCGGGCCATGGGGAGGGGATGTGCGATGGGGAGGGGGCTGTGTGAGTGATGGGGAGGGGGCTGTGTGATGGGGAGGGGGATCTGTGATGGGCACGGGGATGTGTGAGTGATGGGGAGGGGGATATGCCATGGGGAGGGGATGTGAGATGGGGAGGGGGCTGTGTGAGTGATGGGGAGGGGATATGTGATAGGGAGGGGATATGTGACGGGGAAGGGGCTGTGTGATGGAGAGGGGGATACGTCATGGGGAGGGGGCTGTGTGATGGGGAAGGGGCTGTGTGAGTGATGGGGAAGGGGCTGTGTGGTGGAGAGGGGGGATCTGTGATGGGGAGGGGGCTGTGTGATGGGGAAGGGGCTGTGTGATGGGGAAGGGCTGTGTGATAGGCAGGGGGCTGTGAGATGGGTAAGGGGATATGTGAGTGATGGGCAGGGGGCTGCATGAGCGATGGGGAGGGGTCTCTGCAATGGGCAGGGGGCTGTGTGAGCGATGGGGAGGGGTCTGTGCAATGGGCAGGGGGCTGTGTGAGCGATGGGGAGGGGTCTGTGCAATGGGCAGGGGGCTGCGTGAGCGATGGGGATGTATGGAGACCCCAGAACTCACCTGCAGCCAGGCCAAACCCAATTTGACCCCATCCCAGCCGCGTCCGTGCAAGCCCCGCCACCAAAATCCCGATGGATGAGGGGGAGACCCCTGTTCCCAGCAGCTGCACCTCCCTCAGCGCTGGTTTGATGTGGAAATGCAGAAATCCTGGGAATTCCCTGCCCAGGTCAGCTTTGTCAGTGGCACTTTGGGCGCTCAGAGTGGCATCTGAAACGTGTCCCCGCTTTGCTGGGATGGGATCAGGGGCTGCAGGTGAGGGATGAGGGGTGTGGGGCGCTGCCACCACCATCCCAAAGGCCCCCAAGGCAGGATGGAGCAGGGCAGGGGCACCTGGGGGCTGCCAGGGCTCTCCTTGGCCACCTCTCCACAGCTCACCGAGGAAAAAAGGGCAGGAAAAGCAAAACGCGCTGGGAGGGAGCTGCAGCCAGGGCCCAGCAGTGCTGTAAAAGCAGCAAAATAAAACCTTCTGCTGTTCATTGCTGACTAATAAACATCAGCCCCGCCGCTGCTGCTGCCGCCGGTAACAAAGTTTTCCTTGCCAGCCACTTGATTTTAGCGGGAACTTGACCTCAGATTGGATCTGCTCTGCTCAGGCTGCTGCCGCTGGGATGAGGAATCTCTGCTGGTGCCTGCAGAGCCAAGAGGCTGAGCCTGCAAGAGCTTCACGCCCAGGCTGGGATCAGTGACAGCTCCTGCTGGAGAGGCAGGGAGGGCGTTTTCCCAAATCCCAGGGGTTGGCAAGCACGGATTGGGGTGTGCCACAAGCTCCCTGGGCTGCCTGGAGCAGGGGCTGGATCACTCCTGAACCAATTCCCCTTTTCCTTGGTGCGCCACAAGCTCCCCGGGCTGCCTGGAGCAGGGGCTGGGTCACTCCTGAACCAGTTCCCCTTTTCCTCAGTGTCACTCCTGAAGATTTCCAGTCCCAGCGTGGCCTCCCCAAAGCCCATGAGAACCAATTCCCTTTCCCTCCTCACCACTGCCTCCCCAGAGAGGCTGAGTGAGGGGTGGCCCCACAGCTGCCCAGTCCCACGGATCCACCTGCATGGGGACATCCCCGCTGTCCCCTCCGTCACCCCCGTGTCCCCTCGGAGCCAGCCTGGCTCTGGGCACTGTGCTCTGCTCCAGAGCCAAATCCTGCTCAGGTGGGCAGGAAGGGCTGGGGATGCACCTGGAGCCTTCCCAGAGCATCTCTGCAGCTCCTCGTGCTGGCTCCACGCTGTCTTGGACTGGAACCATCTCCTGAGCTGCACTGCTGTGTGTCCAGGGTTCCCCACCCTGCCACGGTGGGAAGAGCTTGATCTTTGTGGGACACCCCACTGAGGGCTCCAGAACTGCCCAGCTCCCCATGCCAGGCAAGGAGAGCCCCCAATCGTGCCTCAGAACTGGTCCCAGACTGCTCAGGGAGAGCCTCCATCCCCTCCCTGCTGCTGCTCCCAGGGGGAATCACCAGCAAAGGACACAGCAGACCCCAGAGCTGCCTCCCTGCCGCTGAGTGTGGAACTGACTGCTGCTGCTGCCCAGGGCAGCCCTGCCATGCCCTTCCCAGCCTGGCACCGGCCCATCCTGAGGGGTTCCAGCTCCTCTCTCTGCCTGCTGCAGGCCTGGACTGTGAAAAGCCAGGAGAGGAGAGCCAGCCTGGGAGGATCCTCCTCCTATACAAACATTTCACACTTCTAAAATTCGAAACTTAAAATTGCAACACTCCTCCAGCTGTGTCCCGAGCAGGAGATGCTGAGGGATGCAAAGCCTGGCCACTCCCTCCATCCATCCATCCATCCATCCATCCATCCATCTCTCCATCCATGGATTTTATCCATCCATGGATTCCATCCCTCCATCCATGGTTTCCATCCCTCCATCCCACCCCACACCGTGTCTGATTGTAAATACATGTAAATTGTATATTCTGGCTGTGCCCGGGGTGGGGTTTTCTCTTCACTCACACAGCCCCACAGGGCACCCTTGGCTCCCTCCCCGTGTGCCAGGGCGTTGGTGGCACCAGGAGGGACCACGGAGGCTGCTGCCACTCTGCCAGGTGATTTCTGCAGGGCAAGGAGGGTGCAGGGAGGTCTCTGTTCCCTGCAGAGCCCCCAGCAGCCCTGTCCATGCCCGTGTCCCTGCCCTGGCAGTGGCTCTGTGCCACCAGGACGTGCCCAGGCCGTGTCCCTGCTCCCAGCCCTGTTTTCCTCCCTGGCAATCATTCCTCAGTGTCCTGATGTGGGACTGAGCCTCCCTGCAGCAAAGGCTCCTGGCTGCCACGGGGAGGGAAATAAAAGATTTTCCTACAGTTTCTGGTTGTGTGTGTGTTGGAGCAGCGGGGTACGAGCCAGGCTTGGGCACCTCCCTGTGAGAGCAACCCAGGATTGTTCAGGCTGGAAAATCCCACAAATATCACTGAGTCCAACCTTGGCACTGCCCAGGCCACTGTCCCCAAGTGCCACATCCACACACCTTTAAATCCTTTAATTCAGGGATGGGGACTGTCCCAAGTGCCATATCCACACAGCTTTAAATCCCTTAATGCAGGAATGGGGACTGTCCCACCGCCTCTGTCCCCAAGTGCCACATCCGCACAGCTTTAAATCCCTTAATTCAGG